AAGCGTGACGGGAGGCAGCAGGGGGCGTGACGGGTAGCAGCAGGGGCACATTCGGTTTGCCCTCATTCTGAGAAGCTAGGAAAACAAATCCACTGGAAGAACAGGTCTCCTAAGAGATGCATGTCCAGCAAAGCTCAGTGTGCTCAGCACAACGGGGGCCCTTTTGGGGTGTTTATAGGATATCCCATTCGGTGGACCGTGTGTTCTCAGATTCTTTTACAATCACTGGAGGTACAGCGATTAACACTGAAGTGATCCAAGTTTAGGATTGAGCACGGGAAGACAGATGGTGTCTCCCTTATTCTCACCTCGTTGTGAACAAAAATAAAGATACCTAAAGGAGCCTGCAGTGGGGAGCCTGCCACGGGGAGCCAGGTCCTGGTGCTCCCCTGGGAAGCAGCTGTGATCAGGCAGTCAGCCTGGGGGGGCTGGCCTTTGTGGTGGCGGGCCCCATCCTCTGTACAGCACGTGTGCTCCTCCACACGGGAACACGGCTCACTCCCACCTGTACTGGGACCCGCGGAAGTGAGTGCTGGCATATTCTGCTGTAAGCCAGATCCCGCAGTCACTAAATCCAGACAGGTGAGGGCAGGAGGCTTAGAAAGGATTTTGCCATTTTGTTTCTGTCACTGTCTCACTTGGTAAACATTATCATTTTGCTTTAACCAGTCTGTTTTATATCCTGAAAGCAGAGATTAGCATTTCAAGACATTAAAGTATTCCTTGTCAAGTGTTTTATGTGTGTTCTAAAGACACCAGGCTCACTGCTCAGCACTGAGGGTCACTGGACAAGCCTTGTTGGTTTCCTCAGAGTCCCCTGAAGGGAGGCCTAGAGTTGGGAGGGGTGAGCGAGGGGCCCTGTGTTCATACCCGGAGACCCCACAGCAGATGGGCCCTGCAGTGTTCCTGCCCGTGGCGAAGGAGAGAGCCACCACTGACGATGTGTGGAGTGAAGTTTCTTCTGTTGCGATGACTGAACTTGTTCAAATGAGCCTGTCTTATGTATCGCTTTTCTTGGCATAGCTTCTAGAGAATGCTACAGAAGTGGCTCACATTGAGGCTTGGTGTGCATTTCTGTGGGGTGTCGTATGTCTAAGCCGGCATGACCGTAAGGGTTGGAGGTGAGCATCAGAGCTTGTAAACAGCTTTCTGAGCTTATATACCTCAGGACTCTAGTGTTGAAATTCATTGTGCCTTTTATGTTTAAAGGGGGCTCTAGAATGTCTAATCCATGTTACATGGACTATGCAAAGACATTTGACTGTGTGGGTCACAATAAACTGTGGCTAATCTTGAGAAAAATGGGAATCCCAAAACACTTGATTGTGCTTTTGTAAAACCTGTACTTGGACCAGGAGGCAGTCGTCAAAACAGCAGGGAAACACTGCATGGTTCCAAATCAGGAAAGGAGTGTCAGGGATACATCCTGTCTCCTTATGTTTTCAATCTGTATGCAGAACAGATCATTCAGGAAGCAGGACTTTATGAGGAGGAATGTGGCATCGGGATTGGAGGAAGACTCATCAACAGTGTACTTTATGCAGATGACACAACCTTGTTTGCTGAAACTGAGGCAGATCTGAAGTGCTTGCAGAAGGTCAAGGACTGTAGTCTTCAATATAGATTGAATCTCAACATCAAGAAGACATAGTTTCTCACCACTGGGCCAACTGGCAGCACTGTGATAGATGGAAAAGAGATTGTGGTGGTTAACAGTTACAGCTTGCTCAGCTCCACAATCAACACTTTTGGTGACAATAGTCATGAAATCAAAAGATGAATTGCATTGGGAAAATCTGCTGCTAGGGACCTCTCCAGAGTACCGAAGAGCAAGGATATCATTCTAGAGACTAAGGTGCACCTAATCCAGGCCATGGTCTTCACAATTACTTGCTGTGCATTAGAGAGCTGGACAGTGACTAAGGGGTGACAGAAGAAGAATCAGTGTGTTTGATTGTGGTGCTGGAGAAGAGTCTTGAACACACCATGGACTGCCAAGAAAACAAATAGGTCTGTCTTGGAGAGGATGAAACGAAGTTTCTCTTTGGAGGCTAGGATTCTGAAGCTTCATCTCACATATTTTGGGCACATGGTCAGGAGAGACTGGTCCTTGGAGAAGGACATCATACTCAGAAGGGTGGAGGGACAGCGTGGCAGAGGGAGACTCTGGGTGAGATGGCTTAATACAGTAAATGGGGCAGTGGGGGTTGGTGTGTTGGAATTAGTGAGGTTGACTCAGGACAGGGCAGGCTTCCGAGCTGCTGTACATAGGGTCGCTGTGGGTCACAGGCGTCTGACTCAAGGGCACATAACAACAACAGTGTTATACTCTGGGCGTGCTATTAGGAGAGGCTATTCTTAGAGAGGGACATTATGTTTGAAAAAGGGGAGGGTCAGTGAAGGAGAGGAAGACCTTCAACCAGATGGATTGACACAGTAACTCAAGTGTATCAGATGATGATGGCACAAGATAGGCCAGGGTTCAGATCTGTTGTCCATAGGATCGCTCTGTGCCCCCCGTGACTTGATGACTCCTGAAAACAACTACAGATGACTAGTGGGTAAGGAGCTACACTCTGAACCCGAAGGCAGATAGTTCAAATCCACTAGGTGTTCCAGTGGAGAAAGATGTGCAGTGTCTTCCCTTGTGCTTTGCAGCTTCTGGAAACCCACTGCAGGGTCAGCTGTGAGTCCATTCTGATTCATAGCAGTGAGTTTGAGGATTTGGGGTTTTTATTAGTTTATGTTTGAAGTGTATTTTAAGTGTAGCTTACTTTCATCCTCTCTTTCTGTGTGTGTGTGTGTGAGAGAGAGAGAGAGAGAGAGAGAGAGAGAGAGGGGTCCTAAGGTACTTGTGAGGATTCCGCTTAAGTAAAATTTGTTGTTAGAAATGTTGTAAAATGGGACTGACATCAGGGTTGGAGTAAGACTGAGAAAAACTGGATAAATTGTGTATACTGCACTGAAACAGATGAGGGAGAGAATAATTTAAAAGTGATATATGATAGGGTGTTGTACATAGGGTCGCTATGAGTCGCAGGCGACTCGACGGCACATAACAACAACAACAACAACATATGATAGGGTATTATGGTTATCACAAGAGTCCAGAATTAAGGTTGCATAGTGGAGTGTACTTGGGGTGGTGGGAGGGGTGTAGGGGGATTGCATACCAAAGAAAGACTTTTACTTTTCAAAGAGAGGAGTGAACTTGGGAACTTGGGGTTGGGGGGAGGGCTGGGAAGGGAGAAAAGTACAACAATGAATGAATGGAAATCCAAAATCTCTGTAAATGTTCATTAAAATTAATAAAATTTTTTTAAAGTAAAAAAAGAAATGTTGCTGGGTCTCCAACAGTAAAGCGGGTCTGATGTGCACCGGGAGGTGGGAGTGACCCCAAAGCCTTAGGAAGCATCTGACCTTTCTCTTTTCTTCCATGTTTCCCGCCTGGCCTCACTGACTCGTTGGACAGCACGGTAAGACGTGTTTGCACCCCTCTCGGGCTACCTCAGGCTGTGTTAACAAGGCCCCGAAGATTGAGGGGGCTCCGGGACACAGTTCTGAAGGAAGCTGGGGAGTGACGGCTGAGCGCCCTTCCCCTGCCTCCGCCCTCTGGTGTTGAGCTCAGATCTCAGGCTGGCCAGAGGACAGGGCATCTGGGTTGTTTTCCCCACTGCTGTTTTTAGAAGGGAGCCTGGGAGACTTCATGTATGGAACTGGTGACCGAGCCTTGGAACCTGGGGGTCCTCTGTGTGGGGTAGCTCCATTTCCAGAGCTGTCCCCACGTCACAGTGCTGCTCACTGCTACGTGGCTTCTAGCCAGTTTCCTTCAGAATTGCCGCAGAGTAACATTTACCCTGGGCTCAGCAAAGTGCAGCTCCTCCCTCCCCTTCAGAAACCACACTCATAGCAACCACAGACCCGCACTGGGGGATCCCTGTCTTCCTGAGGGGTCCTCTCCCATCTGCCCCCAGGATTCCTAGCTAACGGAGGAGGCAGGGAAGGGGAACGTCTCCCTGCCAAGGTCTGGTGCAGAGGAGGGAGCCCCAAGGCCTGGTTCACTGCCCTTGGTTGGTTGTTGATAGGTGTTGGTAGACACCCTAAATCATTCGCACATAGTGACTTGGGGACCCCAGCGGAGCAGGAAGGCTCTCTGTCCTCCACTGTCTGTCAGGTGGTGCTTCCTTTAAGCGCCCCTGTGTCAGTGCGTCTTGTTGAGAGTCTTCCTCTTCTATGACGACCCTTTACCAAGCATGCTGTCCTTTGCCAGGGACGGATCACTCCTGGTACATGTCCACAGTATGGAAGGCCGAAACCTTAATAGAGCTCATATGAATAGACATTTTCCCCTCATTAGATCCTTTCTTCTGAAAACTCAAGTGCCCAGTGTTGCACCTGAGAGAAGTTCTTCAAAAGTTGATGAAAATTTTAAAGGGAAAAAAGTTTGAATAGATTGAAACATTACATTAAGTAGAGTAAGTGTAACAAGATCAGGGTAACAAGAGTTAATTATATGTCAGAAGTCAATCTCACTTTGATGGAACTATTAAAGATGGAGTAGAATCTAAATTAAATGATCAGAAATTAAACCCAAACTCAAGTTCCATCCCATGGGTTCTGACTCAGGAGTAGTGCGTGTCGGGTTTGCGGGGTGATGTGGCCTCGGAGCCTCTCCGAGTGCGTGTCAGAGGCTCTGGGTGGGCCTGAGCACCTGTCGGGCACCTGTCAGATACCGAACCACTTACATCATCTGGGGGCCCCGTGGTCACAGTCTTGCAATCTGGAAAGGGTTGGGGGCCTTGGTAAACTGCAGATTCGCAGTCATGTGAAGTTTGCCTACCCCCCAGCCATCCGTTCCTTCACCCTGGTCGGCTCACAGAGGCAAAGATGGACGCGTGTTTTCAAAGTGCCACGCGATGATTTAAGTGGGGGAATCGCAGCTGCCCACGCCGCCACCCTTACATCCTCCTCTCTTCCTTTCTCCCTTCGCTTTTTTGCAGCACTTCTGGGGGCCAGTAGCCAACTGGGGTCTCCCCATCGCTGCCATCAATGACATGAAGAAGTCTCCGGAGATCATCAGCGGCCGGATGACGTTTGGTGAGCACAGGCTGGGACTGAGAGGGAGGTGTGGGCGTGGCTCTGTAGCAGGTGAGGGTACAGCAAAATGAGTGTCATTTCCTCTGAAATTGCCCGGGGGCGTGTGCGATCCAGCATGACGGGCACTCACGAGGGGTCTCACCTGGTCAGTCACTGTAAGGGCCCGAGAGTATGAGGAGCGTTGATTGGCTCCCTGGACACCTTCGCCACTTGGCTTTGTCTAAACACAACTAGATGCTGCTCGGGCTCAAGCCTGTGGCCCCTGCCAGGCCGCTGCAGCCGCTGGTAGAGAGGGGCTGGAGTCATGGTGCTGCCGGTGTCGCCGTCTGCGGTGACTGAGTTCAGACATTCACCCACAGTGAGGAGGGCGCTGCTGTCGTTCTGCACCCACTTGAAGGATGCACCCACCGTCTTAGTCATTCTGTTCAGGATGCGACCGTTAGCTGGGAAGCATGTTGTGAAGCTCACCTGAGACCCTGGCGTTTGAACGTCAAACTGTTGGCAGCTCTTTAGGGTCACAGGTTGTAAATGACTCCAGGGAGCCTCAGTGGCTAGCGGGCAAGGAATTGTGCTGCTAGCCCAAAGGCAGGAAGTTTGAACCTACCAGCTTCTCTGAGAAACAGCCTCTAAAACTGGAGAGTCACAGCGCACTAACAACTTGGAAGAAAAGGTGTGGCTAGAATTAGGCTTGACTTCCTCTTGCTAACACACAGGTCCCTGAAGTGTGTAATTTTAAGAAACAGATACTAGCCATACATGCCTGAGCCTCCCGTTCGTGGAGGCACGTAAGCAGGCCCTGAACATCTCTTGGGGTTTCTGAGGAGGGAGGCCGCGTTTGGGTCAGTGCCGGGCTGTCGATGGCCATGGCTTGCCAGCCCGGTTTCCTGAGCCAGCATTCCCAGCTGACTGTCCATGTCTCTTCAGCGCTCTGCTGTTACTCTCTGACGTTCATGAGATTCGCCTACAAGGTCCAGCCTCGAAACTGGCTCCTGTTTGCTTGCCATGCGACCAACGAGGTGGCCCAGCTCATCCAGGGAAGCCGGCTCATCAGATACGAGTAAGAGATGGGCTCTGGGAGTGCGACAGGGACACTGGGCTTGTCCTTGAGGCTCCTGGAGGCCGGGCAGGGGGTGGGCACCTGGATGTCCAGTGTGCTCTGGAAGACGAGACACTGACCCAGAGTACAGCCAGCCTGTTGAACTTGAGAGTGGTCTGGCAGGCAGCACAGTAAGACGTTCACATTATTAGATCAGTGGCATCACTGGCAGCCTGGTGATGTGGGGTTAAAGCGCTTGTCCACGTTAGTGCAGGTCCGCAGCCCTTCAGGAGGAAGATGAGGGAACTGAAGTGCTTCTGTGAAGGTGGCAGCCTCGGGGGTCCACACAGGGCCCCTCTGCCCTGCATGGGTGCTAGTAGCTGGACTCGCGCACCATAGGCTTGGTCAATGGGCTGCCGCTGTTTTTATAAATCACCTGCTGAAATAAGCGTTGGTCTGGGGTATCCTGGGAAAGCTGCCGGGGACTCGGGGCTGGCAGTGAGCTTTAATACCCCTGAACCTGTGCTGTGTCTGTTCCCAGGCTGAGTAAAAAGGCAGCTGCATAGCAGTGGGAGAGCGGGCCGCCCACTCCGTGGACGCTCAGCGTCGTCCAAGCCGCCAAGTCACAGATCCCACGTCCTGGACAGTCACCCTGAAAGAACAGACTGTGTGCTATTTCTAATGGGCTGATTTCTAGAAATAGCTGAGAGTGCCTGACCCCATTCTCTCTGCCTTACAATCCATGACTAGCTCACTTCTCTTCATAAATAGTAGCGCAAAATGTGCAAGAAATGCAATCCTTTCTTTCAGCTAAATTGGATGGTTTTAGCTGCAGTAACATGCATTACCTATTAGAATCCGCTCAGTGAGAAACTAACAGACAGGAAACGCCACTGCTAGAACCTCTGACTCCCCCTTCATGATCACGAGACGGCCAATAGCTTGCCAAATCCCTGAAGTCTCCTTCCCGACATCTGAGAATGGTCTATTTCCATGCCATGTGTATTGAACTGCTGTGACTTTACTGAATAAACTGTTGATGTTTGCTAACTGAGTGTGCCTGAGCGTCTTGCCGCCTTCGTCGGGAGGGTGGCTTTTGCAGGGGGGTGCCGGGAGCGTGAGGACCAGTGGCTGGGGTGAGTGCCCCCCCCCCCGTGACTCCAGGCCAGTCACCAGGTGAGACCCAGCAGGGTTCTTGGTGGTGCGGGGGATGTGCGGGGGTTGGCCGTGTGCAAAGTGATGCCCTTTGCGCCAGGCACATGGGCCAGCGAAGGAGAAACCGCTCCCAGAGAGGACGTGCCCAGGACTGGCAGGCTTCTGAGAAAGAGGTCTTGACTGATAAGGGTACCTCCTGCAACTGAGTTGGGATCTTTCTAAGATCTAACTTGAATGTTTGAGAAATTGTTTTTGTTGCTAATTGATGAGGCAGGACAATTGCTGGGACCAGAGAGCTGGTGTGGGTGGGCTCTGGTCCCTCTGAGAGCCGCTCCCCAGCCCCCCATGTCCCCCACCCCCCAGCCCTAGCAGAGGTGCTCTCTCCCCTCCTGGAAGCCCAGGCGTTGCTTGGCTTGTGTGTCATCACTCGCGTGGACCTGCATCTCCATGTGGAGGTCTCCTGGGTCTCCTTTCCAGGAAGCGTTCTACGGGTGAGGCCCCTCCAGCAGTCTGACCTCATAGCACACCTGTTTGAAACCAGGCACAGGCACAGGGTCAGGACTCGCTGAGTCACAAGGAGCTCAGTCCACTGTGTGAAAACAACCAGAAACTAGCAAGGATGTCCCGAGGGGCAGGGGCATCTGGCCAGGTGACAGCACCAGACTCCTGTGTGGTTCCAAGGATGGGGACGTCCAACCAGGTGACAGTGCTGGGGCTCCTATATGGTTCCAGGTGCAGGGATAGCACCAGGCTCCTGTGTGTTTCCAGGGATGTCTGGCCAGGTGACAGTGCCAGGGCTCCTGTGTGGTTCTACAGGTTGGGACACATGGCCAGGTGACAGATGAGGCATACTGCACCCACCTGAACCCCCTAAGATCCCATCATGGGAGATAATGGCATCGTTACACAGCTACAAAACCAGAGAGTCCTGACCAAGGTGACTCAGGTCTGCTCTTCACCCTGAGGGTCACGGGGTTCGGTTCAGGACCTGCCCTGGTTGTCAGAGTTACGGAGCCATCACTGAATTGATGTGTACAGTGCTTGGCCCTTCTTCAGAAGGTTGTCTCCACCATAGTGTGAGGCCTGCTGGGCCCAAGTCCGCATGAGAGGAAGCAAATGCCCGCATTTCATTTCTCAGGATATTGCTAAAGCACAATAGTGATATCTTTGGAAATGAAACACAAATCCCACTAACCCTGTGTTTTCTGATGATTCACATCAAATCATCACCATCATGGCTATTCAAAGCAGCACCCCCAGCTCTGCCTCCTCTTCGCCTGGGCCGAGGCCCCTCCTCTCCCCACTTGCCTCTCTCCGCTCCTCCCTGCTTTCACTAGAACACTCCAGTAACTATAGTAACAGGTCCTTCACCTGGCCTTCTGGGGCCTTTAGTCTTCAAAGTGCTGTTATGCACCATTTGTGTCTGTGTTGCTACTGTTAGGAAGAAAAGTGATGAGAGGTAGTCAAAGAGCAGTGGTTATTGCGACCCATTTATTCCAAAACTCATGGATCTGCACCCACCTAATGTATGCACTCCTGACTGCTGGTGCTGCACTCCCGTGGGAGTTACTCCTGTGCTGCACTCCGGTGGGAGTCCCTCCTGTGCTGCGCTCCATTGGGGTCCTGGCTCCCTCACAGCAGAGCCTGACGTGGTGAGAGTCCCTCCCTCACTCACAGCAGAGCCTGGAACAGGATGTGTCCCTCCCTCACTGTCACACGGGAGCCTGACATGGTTTAGGTTCCAGCGTCTCTGTCACAGTAAAGCCTGGCATAGTAACCCTGCTTTACCAAGTCCCACACACAAAGACAGGCTGGAATTACCTTTTTCCAAATGCTCAAAACGCTGCCCTTGGAGAGGGTTCCACACACTTCTATTTCTCTTCCTCTTTGAAGATGCCCTCTAGGAACAAGGGCCAGGTCACAAAGTCAGCCGCGGGGGGCTTTGGAGCTGGGCTCTGAGGTAGTGATGGAGTGGAGGCCCTGGGCTGTGCGTGGTGGACCAACCCAGATGTGGAAGCCCTCAGTCAGGCATGGCTGTCCACTCTTTCAGATGTCATCTGGAGGTGTGTTGAGCAGGTGGGCTCCTTGGGATTTGCTAAACTTCAGGGGGTCCTGGCTCTGGCTGTCAGCACCCACACCCCAGCCAGAAGAGCCCTTCGCCTCAGGAGTAGAAGATGGGCCTTCTGAAGCTGTCCTCACCACTCTGCTTTCCTGTGGTCTGTAAGGAAGTCGTGGGTGGGCAAAGCGGGCAGATGTGGAAAGCAGGGGTGTCTCCCCCAACCAGGCCTGTAGAAGGGCGCACCAAACCCCTGGCCTCATACCGCCTCCTGCTTTGGGCCTGGGTGTCTAGATTTGGGAGGATCTTTGCCTTTTAAAAGCTATGAAATTAAGAGAACCAGAAAATAAGAAAAAAATGGCTGGGGTTTGGGGGTCTATGAGCAAAAGGTAATGGCCAGCTTCAGGTTTCCTTACAGCCTGATCAGTTGTTCACTAAGATAGGGAGGGAAACTGAGAGCCAATCTGAAATATCCCATGATGGAACAATTCCAGTTCCTGAGATCTTCATTGTTGACCCAGCACTTGGCAGAGGCTGGGCTCAAGTTCTCCACATGCATTCCATGCCCTAGCATTCAACAGTGAGTAAGAAGGAACAATTGATGCCTTTGAAGTGTGGCGCTGGTGAAGAGGTTTAATATACCATGTACTGCCAAACCAACAGATCTGTCTGAAAGGAGTGCAGCCAAAGTGCTCGCAGGTGCAAGGCTGGTGAGGTTTCAGATCACATACTGTAGGCACGCTTTCTGGAGGGGTCACCGGAAGGACATGTTTCAAACTGTAGAGGGTCAGCGTCTGAGAGGAAGACCCCCCCCAGGAGATGGACTAACACAGTAACGGCAGCGATGACCCAGCACAGCACCGTATCCAAAATTTGTTTTTACATTTAAATACAAAAATATGATTCTGCTTGGTGTTATTAACATGTAGGGCCAAGTAGTAAGGATTTCGTGTTAGGTCAGGGATATGTTCGCTCATGCCCCTCCCCTCCTAAGCTCCTAATTTCATGAAGTTTCCCAAACAATGAAATCTTGACCACAAAATTAAGTTGGACCCTCCCACTTCGGCTACCCAAAAAAATTCCTCCACTTCTCGCTTCACAAACATGTATGCTCGCTCTGGATGCTTCCTCCCACCCTACTAACGCCCTAGTCCTCATCTTCAAGAAAGCTTCAGTGACAAGGAAGAGAAGACAGATGGCTGTGAAGATATTAAGAACTTGACCCCTCCACCTGGCCCCCAAAAGCAAGAGTTATTAACCAGCTGGGCGTGAAGAATAAAAAGATCTCAGTGTTCAGCCCCTTGAGTTTCATCTATTTGGGACAAGTAGGAGAGGGGAGAGGAGGGCATGGGGCGGAGAGTGGGGTTGATGGCTGGGGGCCTGGCCCACCCTGGCTCTCTGCTGGAAGGATTGTCACCAGTCTCATGGAGAAGGCATGTGTGTATCAGGACTTCTGTCACTGAGTAGGGGTCACGGTTGGCAGAGGGCAGCGATCTCAGGAGCAACCCCTCCTCTCCTGGCCAGCAGTCCAAGGAGTGTGATGCTGGTGCCACGGGAGGCCACACTGGCAGAGGCTGCGTCGACGGTGGAGGTTCTGTGGAGTCCACGGGCGCTGGGCACTGCCCAGGCCTCCTTTGGGACCATAGGCACGGCTTGGTGCCAGTGCCACCTGTTTAGGCTCTCAATGGACTCCTCAGTGTGCATCACACCTCTCTCTTCTCGCGTGGCCTTGATGCTAACACTGGAATGACATCCCACACTGTCCAGGTTCGCAGGGCTCGTTTGGGGTCTCAGTCTCCACAAACAAGGTGCAGGACAAGCCACGCGGAGATGGTCTCCCCTGACATTTTTCCTCACTTGGGGCCTATGAAGGCCAAGTGGAGGTATCTGGAGAGGAATACGATGCGGAAAGCATTGATGACCAACCAGGTGCCTTCACCTCGTACTTGGATGCAGGCCTTGCCAGATCTAACACAGGCAACAGTGGGGCTCTGAAGGGAGCTGTGGATGGAGGCTTTTCTACCCCTCACAGAACCACGTGATTCCTGGGTTATGATTCAGAGAACAAGGAATTCAACACAGAAGTAAGTTGGAAGCACACCATCGGTCAGAGTTGCAGACTATATGCATTAGCTAATGGAGGAGGATGAAGATGCTTTTAAGAAACAGTTCCCTCAGTTCAGAAAGAGCAGTGGTGCTCCAGACATGAGATGCATAGGACAGCACACACTGCCATCTGAGAGAATCCAGTTTAGAAAAAGCCCAAGAAAGAAGTTTAGAAGAGGTAGAATCGCCCAAAATGTCTCAAAAGGGGTCGGGTGGCTCAGAAGGCAGACATCCTCGGAGCTCCGGCAGCTCCAGACTATACTAGCTATATGCCGACAGCTATACCAATTTTATGTGAATACTTTTCAGATAAAGACAATAAACATTGATAAAGCAGCAAAAAAGCCCCCCCAAAAAAATATGCAACACCAGAAATGGACTTTAGATGTGGACTTCTCCTGATGGACTGACTACATCTGCGGCAGGAATCACTGGGGAAGCTCGATCTCAGCACTCTGAAACCAGGCTGGGGGTGGACTTTAGAACAGATCATCAATGACTCACATTCAAGTCCAAATTGAAGCTGAGGGCAATTAAAATCCACCCACAAAACCTAAAATATGACCTTGAGTCTATCCCACCTGAATTTCAAAATCATCTCAAGAATATGTATGAGGCATTGAACATTAATGGTTGAAGACATGACATCCTTGATGTCGTCCATGAAGAAAGCTAAAGGTCATTACAAAGACAAGAATGTAAAAACCAGAATGGACATCAGAAGAGACTCTGAGAATTGCATTTGACTGCCAGGAGGCCAAAACAAAGGGAAGAAATGCCAAAGGGATGTTCATGAAGACAAATTATTATATAATGGGATGTGCAAAGAGTTGGAGAATAAAAAGGGAATGATTTGCTTAGCATTTCTCAAGCTGAAAGAAATGAGAAACAAATTCAAGCCTTGAGATGCAATACTTAGAGATGCTATGGGCAAAACCTTAAATGATCCAGGAAGCATCTAAAGAAAATGGAGAGTCACTCTACCAAAATAATTCGCTGACACAGACCATTTCAGAAAACAGTATATGGTCAAGAATCAATGGTAATGAAGGAAGAAGTTCAAGCTGCACTGGAGACACTAGTAAAAGATAACACCTTTGGGATTAAATACCAATTGACTTGTTCCAACAATAGATGCAAACTCGGATGTGCCCACCAGGTTATGCCAAGAATCTGGAAGATAAGCTACCTGGTCAACTCACTGGAAGAGATCGGTATTTGTTCTCATTCCCAAAAAAAGATCATCCAATGGAATGTGTAAACTATCAAGCAGTTTCATTAGTATCACTTCCAAGTAAAATCTTGCTGAAGGTCATTTAAAAAATGCCTAGAACAGTACTTTGACAGAGAACTGCCAGAAAGTCAAGCTGGGTTTAGAAGGGGTCATGGCACCAGGGATATCATTGCTTATGCCAGACAGACCATGGCTGAAAGGGGGGGATACAAGTGTCTATTTTTATTTTATTGCCTGTGCAAATTTGTGTGGATCACAATTAATTATTTCAGAGAAAAATGAGAATCCCAGAAACTTATTTGTACTCATGTGAAACCAGTACCTAGACCAAGAGACTGCTGTCCAAACTGAGAAAGGAAACACTGCTTGATTTAAAATAAAAAAAGTTAAAAACTTTCAAAGATTTCATCAGTTGGATCCACAATCCTGGTACCAGCAGTCAAGAAACAAAAGGCATGTTGCATTGGGGAGTATCTGCTGTCAAGGACCTCTCCAAAGTGCTAAAGGGCCAGGGGTGTCAGTTCTAAGACTAAAGTGTGTTTGACCCAAAGCCATGGCCTTTTCGGTTACTTCTTATTAATCTGAAAGTTGGACGACATTTAAGGGTGACAGAATAATCAATGCCTTTGAGTTGTGCTGCTGGAGAAGAGTATTGACTATGGACGGCAAAAAAGAACAAATAAATACGCCTTTGAGAAAATGCAACCAAGATGCCCCTCGGAGGCAAGGATGGTGAAACTCGACCCTTGGGAAAGGACCTCATTCTTAGAAAGGTAGAGGGTCAGCGTAAGAGAGGAAGACTCAAGAGGATGGACTGACAGTGTAACAAAGGGTGCTGCTAGCATATCAGGTGATGAAGAGGGCGCAGGACAGGGTGGAGTTCAGAGCTGGTGCTCACAAGGCTGCTATTTGTTGTAGTTGACAGCACAGCACATAACACCGCCACCCCACACACACACTGGCCAGCTTTAAGTCAGCTCTGATAGTGACCCTATGTTCAACAGAAAGGGTCAAGTCTGTCCTCTTCTGCATCATCCTCATCTGCTTAAATCCATGCTGCAATCTCTAAACAGCCCTAGGCCTGCACTTCCTCCAAAGTGGAGTTGTTCATTTTTTTTTTTTTTCTTTGCTACATATAGCATTGCGATGTGAAAGTCTGCTGTTAGGGACCCCTCCAAAGTACTGAAGAGCATTGGTGTCACTGGAGAGTAAGGTGCACCTGATACAGACCATGGTCTTTGCAATCACTTGTTATGCATCTGAGAGCTGGGCAGTGACTAGGGAGGATAGGAGAATTGATGTCTTTGAGCTGTGGTGTTGGAGAGGAGTATTTAATATATCATGGACTGCTAAGAAAATGAACAGGTTTGTTCCAGAGAGGGTTAAACCAGAATGCTCCTTGGATCAAGGATTCTGAAGCTTCATCTGACAAACTCTGGACATGTTGCAAGGAGGGACCAATCCTTGGAGAAGGAAGTCATGCTTGGGAGGGTGGAGGGACAGCGCAGGAGAGGAAGACCCTCTATGAGGTGGATCGATTCAGTGAACGGAGGTAGGTGTATTGGAGACAGTGAAGATTGGCACAGGACAGAGCAGAGTTTAAGGCTGTTGTACCCAGGGTCGCTGAGTCGCGATGGCACGTAACAACAAATGTATAGCATATTCTTCACTGATATAAACATTTAAAGTATCAATTTTTTCTTCAACCTTATAAACTCCAACCTTCACAAGCATATAGAGTAACTTCAAATCCACGAGTTGGCTCAGGTGAACTCTGCTCTTGAGCACTGTAGAGGACTCTGGCGGTCCATCTGCCCAACGCAGCACATCTTCTGACGTTTTGACTGCTGCGTCCATGGGTGGTGTGTGTGGATCCACGGAAAATTAAATTCTGGACCAGCCTTTTCCCCATTAAAGATGATGTTGCCTTTGTCCAGTTTTGGAGATTCATGTTTTCTTGATGTTGAGGGGTAACCCATACTGGAAGTCGTCGTTTTTAATCTTCAGTAAGTGCTTCAAGTTGTCTTTGCTTTCAGCTAGTCAGCTGTGTCACTTGCTGCGTGGTGGGCGTGTGAAGGGTCCTCGGCAGCTCGGAGCTGTCCCGGGACCGCCCGTGGCAGTTACTGCACGGTGCTGTCCACCATCACCCCTCGGGGACACTGGTCCAGTGCCCTCGCGGCCAGGGACGGCAGCCTCGCGGTGTGGATGATGAAGAGCCCGCCGCCCTCCGCAGTCTCTGCCGGACAACACGGAGCCTCGGGGACCCTCTCCGCACTTCTGCGCCGTCCCAGAGTCGCTGGTGAGTCCCGATCACTCGACGGCAGGAGCTCTGGGTGGGTTTTTATTTCTGAAACGTGAACGAAAAGCAGCTGCGAGACTCCACGCTCGCAGCCCGCGAACGGGGTCCTCCGGCCGGACAACGAGGACCTCACGTGTCCAAGCGGCTCCAGCTCGCCGGCACCACGGTGCGCATGCGCAGCATCCTGTACCGGAAGTGGGCGGGCCGGCGCCTTCCGGTTAGCTTCCGCAGCCGGTGCCGCGCGCATGCGCCTGGTCTCCTGCGGGGGGGGGTCCCCTAGCCCGGAAGCGGCGGGTCTGCGCACAAGGACTTCCGGCCCGCGCGTTGTGGGGTTTCCGGTCGTGGCTTCCTGGTGGGCTGGGCGGAGGACTGGGCAGCGAGAAGCGGCCGCTGTGGCCGGAGAGAAGGGCCATGGACAAGCTGCGGCGCGTCCTGAGCGGCCAGGACGACGAGGAGCAGGGCCTCACCTCGCAGGTAGCGACCCGGGGGGCGGACCGGTGTCCAGCCCCGCTCCGGAGAGGCCACGTCCCCCCTAGATGGCCGCTGCAGTCAGGAGGGTGACGCTGCCCTGCAGGAGGAACCGGAGGTGTTGAGGCCTCGGTGGAACTCACATGCGCTCACTCGGAAGCCGGGTCTCCGAGCACCCGCTGGGCTGCCCGGGTGCCCGCTGCCCCACTCAGCCTCCCCGGGGTCGGCGGCTTGGCGGGTGGAGGGGCGTGGGCTCCCCGGAGACCGGGGGACGGGGCGGGGGACCCGCGCTCTCCGTGGAGGCAGCTAGAAAACCAGGACAGGCTGCACATAAAGCTCTGGTGCAGCTGCGCTGAGACCTGATAGGCCGACTTCCTCCAGGAAGGTTCAGGGTAGGGCTTCGCAGGAACTGCTTTGCATGCGATTTGGGGATTTGCGCGGTGACCTGGCCTGGCCTGCCTGCGCAGACGAGCAAGACACCCAGCGCTCTGAAAGCACCGAGTGCGCCTGGCTCCTGCACGGGGGTCTGTCTTTGCCCAGCTCCCCTGTCATCATCGCTCCTACTCACAGCCTTTGTGGTTGGGGATCTGGGAGACTGACCTTCCCAGAGGCTGCTTCTCTCGGGTAGAACCCCCAGAGCCCAGTGTGCAAATCATGATTATTGTTAACCTGCCGTGCAGTCGCCTGAACTCTGCCCTGTCCTGATCCAGTGTCACCACCTCCAACACACCTGCCACCATTTCCCGGGTTCAAGGAGGTACAGATCAGGATAGTGATGCCCACACTTGTAGTTGAGATGCTTCGGAACCCAGAAGGGCGGGGAAGACCCCTAGGGTTTCCACAGTTGTCATTGCCGGGGCAGACTGCTGGATCGTTCTCCATCCAGCAGTCGGTGGATTTGAACCGTAGACTTTCTCCTTAGCAGCTGAGTGCTAACCAGGGCGCACTCCTTCATGGTGATTCTCATCCCACTGGCATCAGGTCGGAGCTGCCCCTTAGCTGACTTCCATCACGTTCTGAATCCCAGGGAGGGGAGACGACCCATCTTTCTCTGGCAGAACCGCTGGTGGATTTGAACTGCCAGAGACAGACAGGCTTTGCATCAGCAGCTGAACTCCTTGAAGACTGAACCATGAGGGCTTCCGGAGTTATGCAGGAAGCATAAGAGCAGAAATGTCAGGGCTGTCAGGGTTAATCACTTCAGTCAGCGTTTGTTGAACTCTGTTTCCCATGGAAAGCTCTAGGTCTTTGCCATCCAATAAGTACCTGTAACCACCTGTGGCTATTTCAATTCGTTAAAACAAAATAGAAAACTCCATTCCTTACTTTATCTAGCCAGATTTCAAGGTTTCAGGAGGTATATGAGTTAGTGGCCACTGTATTGGACAGCACGTGTGTACAGGGGCATCTGCAGAAAGTGATTTGTTCTAAACCACAAGGCAGTGGCATCCATTTCCCAAACAACATGCCTCTGGAAACTATGAACTTTGATAAATGATAACACTTATAGAAAGCTTCAGGTCTTTTGTTCATAGGGTCGTGCTCAACTCGACAGCAATCAACAACAAAAACTGAGTCTTTTATCTGGCAGGATAATAGATTTGTAGAAAAGTAATCAAAGAGTAGAATGATTGCCAGGAACTGTAAGTTGAGAGGAAGAATAACGTGGTATCAGGATTGGAGGAAGACTCAGCAGTCTGCATTATGCAGATAAAACAATCTTGTTTGCTGAAACTGAGGAGGACTTGTAGCATTTGCTGCAGAAATTCAAGGATTGCAGTCTTCAATGTGGATTGCATCTCAACATCAAGAAAACAAAA